TATATATATATATATATATATATAAAGGGAGTTTAGTGACATCGTGAAGGTCATCTGGTTTTCCAGGAAATGTTTAGTCTATTTCGCTATGTACTGTTGTAAGCATCTCATTTCCGATACAGTGTAGCCGATCGTGAGAGTGTATGTGAAAAGTTGTTAGAGATATTTCACTTTAGAAAAGGCTAAATATGTGTATATTTAAAGCTATACTTAAGTGTTTAAGTAAAGTAAAGGTGACACCTGGAGACTGATTGAAAAAGACATGTTATGCTAATCAATTTATAAAAACAGGTATGAAAAATTATCTTAAATAAATAGTAAGTTTTTAGGAAATTCAGCATTCACATTACATGAAAAAAATAAGCAAAGAATAAAAATTATTTTTCTGACAGATATGAAATCAATGAGAAACCTAGCCCAGCTCGACCATGCAGTTTGATTAATGAATTGTCATTTACTTTCATAGTGTTGTTGTACATATCTCCAAACTAACATTAAAATGTTCACAAAACTAAAATATTATTTTATCTTTAGTGGCTGATTATCTTGCCAGTTATTCTAAAAAAACAAACAAGAATAGATTCAATAAAAGTTGACGATAGACTGATATGAAATCAGACTTATCAGGTGTAGCTTCTCAGACTTAACCGTGTTTGTTGAAGAAAGAGCACTAAAAGCATGTAGTGCTAGGCGTGTTTGGCAAAATATTAAGTTGCATATTACTACAAGATTAATCAACATTTTTGGGAGGATGTTGCTGACATGACTTGTATACTATATATATCTGATAAATGCTATATATGTAAAGGGTTAATAGAAATTTGATCAATAAATTTATTGATTATTTGCACACTGAATAAGACTGTAAAGGTGTTGGAATGATTATGTAGGATTTCAAGTTTTCTGAAATTTTTTGTTAAATAATTCATTGGTTTGTATATAAAAGCAATTGTCACAGTAACCTGTAACTTTTAAAACATATCAAAATTGATCTTAGATACAGTATGCTTTATCTTTATTTGATATGAGCAGAGTATGTGATATAAGAATGCACTTGCGTTAAAGCCAGTTTTCAAATATTTTACAGGCATTTAATGACAATGTTGTAGCTAAAGCCAGTATTATCCAAGCAACAGGAGATGCTATTGCGGAGTTCAAAGAACTACAGTGTCTTACGCCAAGGTGGGTTTCTGTATGTTAATATTTGTATATAACTAATTTCCCATAATATTTGTTAGAGATTTACATAAACATGTGTCAATGTATTACTAAAGATTATTGTTTTATTCATAATTAGTATATGTTTGTATTGTTAAAATCTATGTATTATCATGATTTTGTGGAGTACGTGTTTATATGTACTAGTGTCGTTAAGGTTGATACCTGCATAAAAAACCCATCAAAATGATCATACATGCCTAACTAATCAGGAAACAAGACCATTGTTTGCAGGCATTAACACATGGTTGCTATCTCTCCCCCACCCCACACACTAACAACATTTTCTTTCTATAAAATTAATTGTAGCTGTGTCATATAATTAATTATTTTATGTGTTAAACTTCAATAAAGATTCACATGCCCTGATAGTTTGCTTATATATATGTGTAGGTTTGGTATGTCACGTTTCCTTTTGAAATATTTTTTTCCAATATCAAAATTCATTTTAACTACAGTGAACCCTCGTTAGTCCGGATAATGACATTCCAGCTGATCTTTTATATAGACAGATCTTCCCAATAAGAAACGTAGCTAATAATCTGTATATTTCCATTTGAAGTTTGAACAGCTATTACTTATAACAAGCATGCATTTCGTATGATTCAGTAACTCATACACGACGATCAGAACAGGGAATGAGGTGATAATTACTGACTACTAAACTCTTGCACTCACACTGTGTACTCTTGAGAAGATATTTCTAAAACATCTAAACTTGCTGTGGTAACCAGTTTTTGACAGTTTTTCTGACAGTAGGGATGTTCATAACAAATATTGAGAGGTCATCAGAGTGATTAATTCCACAATTATGTCAAGTCATTGTGCTTCATAACGAAGACAAGTAGAAGTATCAGCATCATTAAAACATGATGCTTGTTTGTACAAGAAAGCAATACATGAACTTTTTATGCTGTATTCTGTAAGTAAGTTACAGAATTGTTAACAAAATGATGGAACTTTTATAATGCAATTTTTATGAATATTGATGACATATACAATAATAAACTATTAATTACCAGTTGCATGCCCATCCTTACATTTATCGATCGATAACACATGCTATTATTAATGTCCATTACAGTCAAAGTAACTGATTTGACTGTTCGAATATCTAAATAATCCAGAATTAAACCTGTAAGAAGTATTTCATTAAGATTAATGAGGTTTCACTGTAAATACATGTGTTTTTATTTTAACCATTTTACAAAAGTTAAAAATTAGTTTGACCGGGTGGGAACTGGTACATTTAGGCCATGAGCACCTGGATTGACAAAATCTACAGTACGTCACTGTTAACTGTCACCCTAGGCTAAAAAAAAATATTTTATTATTCAAAGTTAGAGTTTAAGCACCAAAGCTACAAAGGATTAGAAACTATTAAGCCTAACAATTGTGTTAACATAGACAAATTAACAGTAGTATTGGGGGAAAAAAAACATCCACACTTAACGTGATTTCAATTTTATTATTACCTCCCATGATCAACGAATTTTACACAGGATTTCTAACCATGATGCCAAGGAAACTACACTGTTGAGACCAGATGGTATAAGGACAGCTGGTTGGCCCACATGGTAATTGTCTTGGTAACCAATCAAATGAGTTGAATCCAATACAGTTTAAATGGGGATTGCAAAACAATTTGTCTTACAGAGTGAAGTAACCTTTTATAATCAGAATTTCACAATGTAAGTGACTGAAATACGCGTGTCACTGGTGTTTTGATACTCCATGGTAAGAATGTGCGAACCTTCCTTTTGAAGTATGTACAAACAGTTTTTTGCTATGGCCTTTGTTTTACTAAGAAAACTGCTACATTAACCAGAAATTTGCTAGTGTTAAGTTTGAGCCATGTGAATATATTTCTTGCTGTCAGCTGATTTTTAGAGAAAAAATCTGTTAAAACAGTTGAGAGGATAATTGGATTAATATTTAAAGTTTATGATGTTGTTGTGAATAATATACAGTTTGTAAAAACTATTAACTGAGCATTTCCTGGATAGTACATTTAATTGAATTGAAATTTATTGTTTGTCACTATGTATGTGTCTGAAATCTCTCATACAGCTTTTCACTAGCTGTATTTCTTTCTTTCTGGTTTTAGAGGTCGGTATGACATCAAAATGTTTCCATCTTTCATTCAACTTCATGGCAAGACTTTTGACTACAAGATCCCTCTAACAACTGTGTTGAGACTTTTCCTTCTTCCCCACAAAGATGGTCGCCAGATGTTTTTTGTGGTAGGTATCAAAATGTGATGATGGGTAACTGTACTTGCACATTGTCCAAAATATAGGTTTTGGCTAATATCCAGAAGAAGAGCCATATTGTAGCTGAACAATCTAGATGTTACTGAAAAAGGCATGAGTTGTATATTTGTTATTATAAGTATCTTTTTTTTTCATTAATAAAATACAAATATTTTTTTATTTTTTGATACCATTCATGATATTAAGCTTGTATGCATTCTATATGAAAATATGATTTAAACATTTAAAGTTTATAATACATGTAGCACTTAAATGTTGAAGTTTCTTTAGAATTTACACAGGTTGTGACAGTTATAATTGCATGATACATAAATATCACAGGTGTTGAAGTTTTTGAGGCTTTTAATATATAAATATGTAACTTTTACATTTATTCGTGTATATTCTTATCTTAATTATGTTCACCCATTGGATTTTGAAAAAGAAATGTTTCAGGTGTTTTGTTAAGATTGTGTTTCGATTTCAGTATCAGGCTGTGTTATTAATTCAAACTTGTCTCTTCCCAGATCAGTTTAGATCCACCGATTAAACAAGGTCAGACTCGGTATCACTTCTTGATTTTGTTGTTCAGCAAGGAAGAGGAAACAACTTTGGATCTGAGACTCACTGAGTAAGAATTCCAGAATTGCTTTCAATAAGATAGTAGAAAACATTAAGTATGAATGAAGTCTTCATTTTATCATTTTCTGTTTTAACTAAAACATCAGGTTTACCTTTGTTTACTCCAGGATTGTTCCTGACTAATCATACTTTCTAAGTAACATTTACTCCAGGATTGTTCCTGACTAATCACTTTCTAAGTAACATTTACTCCAGGATTGTTCCTGACTAATTACACTTTCTAAGTAACATTTACTCTGGGATTATTCGTGACTAATCACACTTTCTAAGTAACATTTACTCCAGGATTGTTCATAATTAATCATAATTTCTAAGTAACATTTACTCCAGGATTGTTACTGACTAATCACACTAAGTAACATTTACTCCAGGATTGTTCCTGAATAATCACACTAAGTAACATTTACTCCAGGATTGTTCCTGACTAATCACACTAAGTAACATTTACTCCAGGATTGTTCCTGACTAATCACACTAAGTAACATTTACTCCAGGATTGTTACTGATTAATCACACTAAGTAACATTTACTCCAGGATTGTTCCTGACTAATCACACTAAGTAACATTTACTCCAGGATTGTTACTGACTAATCACACTAAGTAACATTTACTCCAGGATTGTTACTGACTAATCACACTAAGTAACATTTACTCCAGGATTGTTACTGACTAATCACACTAAGTAACATTTACTCCAGGATTGTTACTGACTAATCATACTTTCTAAGTAACATTTACTCCAGGATTGTTACTGACTAATTACACTTTCTAAGTAACATTTACTCCAGGATTGTTACTGACTAATCATACTTTCTAAGTAACATTTACTCCAGGATTGTTCCTGACTAATTGCACTTTCTAAGTAACTTCTGTGGTTTTCTCTTCAGGGAGGAAATCAAAGAAAAGTATGAAGATAAGCTGCAGAAGGAGATGGGTGGACCAACTTTTGAAGTCATCAGTCGAATCATGAAAGCATTGGTCCAGAGGAAGATTACGGTTCCTGGAAACTTTTGTGGGTCAGTATTCACGTACATGAGCATATTTTACCTCAATAAATAGAGATAGTCAAATCTTATACACAACAAATTGTCTTATGGTAGGTTCAAAACAATAAGTTCTTAACTTATAATAATATAAATCAACTATGAAGTATTTTGTTACAGTTAATCATACTACAGTGGAACTCCTTTTACCTACGTGCTTTGGTAGCAAAGGTCTGCAGAGGGGGTGGGGTGCATGTACTTTGGATAAAAAGGGGTTCTACTGTTATTTCCAGAGTAACAGTAGCACAACAAAATATTTTTTTGATAAAACCCAATTCATAAGTCTTTTTAACTGATGTATAGTAATGATTAAATGTTTCTAGGCTATCGGGTAATGAAGGTTTTCAGTGTGTTCAGTAACTTCATTAGACATCTTGTATGTGTTTTTCCCACAGTCATTCTGGAACTCCTGCTATCACATGTTCATATCGTGCTGGAAACGGGCTACTGTATCCCCTGGAGCGAGGAATCATCTTTGTTCATAAACCTCCAGTTCATATTCGCTTTGATGAAATAGCCAACGTCAACTTTGCTCGAAGTGGTGGGAGCACGCGATCTTTTGATTTTGAAGTGGAAACCAAAAATGGTGTGGTTCACACGTTTAGTAGCATTGAAAAGTAAGTGGCTTCAACATAGTTATATAGTTCACACCTTTTGTTATTAAATCTAGCTAAGCACATGTACACACACACCAGTGGCTCTAAGGGTTGGCAGAGCACAGATAGTTCATTGTGTAGCTTTGTGCTTAACGAATGAATAAAATCTAATTTAGCTCCCAGTGTACTTGATCTTGAAAAATGAATAGCTTCATGATAACTTTATTATATAATCCTTTGAGTAATGCATGATTAAATCAAACTTGATTCTTCAGAGCATTTCATCAAAATTGACTTTTAACTCAATCTGATTTGCCATCATCCATAGAATTTGGTGTATTTTTCTAAACATTTGTCGACATCATTAAAATAACTTCTTTTTTTTTTTTACTTGTTTATTCTTTGTGTTTAGAAATTCACGTATTTTATAATATGTATATTGCCTTTTAAGTTAGTAAAAATCATGCAGGGTGAAATGCATTTTTTTTATATTTCCTTGAAACTTTCTTTAATGCATCAAAGGTTTTTTTATTGTATACTTTATTTTAATCAGTTCTGAATGTATACAAAAAATGTATCTTATGATAAAACTATTAGTTTGTTTATGTACTTACTAAAGTATAGCAAGCTTTTGAACAAGCAAGCATTTGAACCCAACCACAAAAATAGTGCAGGTGGACCACTATGTTAAAACAAATCAATAAAATGTTGTATGTGTAGATACTATATTTCTTGTTATTAGCTGTGATGGTACTGTATCCTGTGCTTGCCCAAAAAACAACAACAAATTATACAGTTAAGACATTTAATATGAACCAAGTAAATGCATTTACTAAGGAAATTGTACGCATGTCGGGCCTAAAACAGGCTTTCAAGCAGTTTTCAAACTTATTTTATGACCAACCACATGGAATACAAATATTATAACAAAAGTTAATTATCTATAAATTAAAAGTATGTTTGATAAAGAAAATTGAAAGATATACGTTTAAAAAGTTTAGGTGGATTTTTATCATACAAATATTTTCTTCGTTCGTGGCATTAAAAAAAAATTTAGAAAGCTGCTCATGAAATAAGTTACAGAAAGAGCAAATGCAAACTTTTTTTTGTATTACAGAAGACGCTTGCTAATAAAGGTAGATATATATCAAATGCACATAAGGAGTTTTTATAAAAATAATTGAACTTTTTTTTTTTTTTTTTCAAAATAATTTTTTCTCTTAAAATCCTACTAGTAATACATATGTTGTGTATTTGACCTTTCAAAGTGAATAACGAAATTAACATACAACTTGACGGAAATAAAATGTTTTTTTAACCTTAGTCTGTTGGTTTTTTTTTCCAGATAATTTAAAAAATTTCGGTATTTCTCGTACGCACATAGTAATAAAATTAAATCTTTGTACTATTCCAGGGAAGAATACGGAAAGTTGTTTGATTTTGTCGATAATAAGAAACTACGGATCAAGAATCGTGGGACTTCATTTGTAAGGATTGGTTTTTTTTTCTTTATTAATCTCTCTTTCTTGTTTTAAATTATTGATTAATAACTTTTAATTACTATCTCAGCAACCAATAAGCAACTTTCAATTGTTTGTTGAATTTACGATACTTATTCTTATATGAAATATTTTTTACTTTGCATAATCTGGGTAAACCTAACCTAATTTGTTTCAGTCATACTTGTCTGTTCTTAGACACAATGGCCGGGTGGTTAGGGTGCTTGACTCGTAATCTGAGGGTTGTGGGTTTGAATCCCCGTCACGCCAAATATGCTTCGCTCTTCTTAGGGGTGTTATAATGTGATGGTCAATCCAACTATTCATTGGTAAAAGAGTAGCCCAAGAGTTGATGGTGGGTAGTAATGATTAGCTGCCTTTCCTCTGGTCTTTCACTGCTAATTTAGGGCCAGATAGCCCTTGTGTAGCTTTGCATAAATTCAAATGTTCAGTTCATTTCTTAGCCACAATATACATCTATCTGAATCTGCCTTTTCTTCACAGTAAGTACATTATTTTTCTCCTTTCTAAACACTAGTTACAAAATAACAAGTTTGTTTCTTTAATTATGACTTGTATTAAGAGAACATAGTTACTTTGACGGTTCTTTTTTTTTTCTGGCTCGACTTTTACATCAAGCTGAGATTTGTAATTGTTCCTAGGATAATCAACATTAGTTTCTGAAGTTTTAGTCCTACTAGAACCACCAACAAAGAAACTGGTAAGTGTCTTTTGACTCACCAGTATTCTGTCAGTTCCAGCTTTGAGTGAGCTAAAAGTGTCTGTTTCAGAAATTTCAACATTTGCATAAAGTAGACTTTTAGATATGTCTGACATCAGGCAAGTTGACCTGTGTTTTGGTTTTTGTTAAATGCTCCCATGATGGGTACATAATAGTAATAATTACCTAACTTGTATGATAAGAGAATACGAGCAGCACAGTCATTGATCATGTGCAAGTCCTCAGGTGCTTTATACGTGGATTTGGCTGGGTACTTTATAAACTCTGGATTGGGACTAAAGAAGGAAGGAATCTCATTATCGACAGTACAATGAAGTTACTTATTAGACTTGCGTCAAAGATATTTAGTACTAACTGTAAAACAAGCATGATCAATATGGGGAAGGTTATAGGATTTAATGTCACCAAAATTCTTTGTTTTATTTTTAGTATTATTAGTTTTAGGGATAAGTGGTAAATAGTGTGTTTGAAATATGGTTCTTTTTGTTGTTTATTTTTGTAATAAGGAAAAACCCAACACTACATACAATGAAGACGAACTTGTGGATTCAGACCTGGAGGATGAACCAGTACCAGATGCTTATCTTGCTCACGTGAAAGAAGAAGGAAAACAAAGGGAAGAAGAAACTGGAGGCATGGGAGGGTCTTCAGAGGATGAATCAGATGAATCTTTTAATCCAGGGGATTCTGGCAGTGAAGTGGCAGAAGAGTAAGTAAATGTAAAGTTTTGTGGAACAAAAGTTGAATTTCAAATGATTTTATGAATTTAAAGAAAGTAACAAAACTCGTCACTGTTATTGAAACTTTTTAAATTATTTTCAACAAACTACAAAATCTACAAGGGAAACTATGTTTTGGACCTATCAGTCAGGAATGTGTGGAATCAAGATTAATCTGAGAAATTTGAAGTGTGCGTATGACGTTTTCTGGCCTTTTTGTGATTAGCCAACAACATTGCTTCTAATAGGCTGGTAGATAGGTTATTAGTTTATTTAAAAAAAAACAACATTTGTATAAAGATCAGTTTCCAAAAAAATGTTATTCCATACTCTCTTGACCACTCTGTTGGAATGGTCCAAGTGCCATACTCTCTTGACCACTCTGTTGGAATGGTCCAAGTGCCATACTCTCTTGACCACTGTTGGAATGGTCCAAGTGCCATTACTCTCTTGACCATTCTGTTGGAATGGTCCAAGTGCCATACTCTCTTGACCACTGTTGGAATGGTCCAAGTGCCATACTCTCTTGACCACTCTGTTGGAATGGTCCAAGTGCCATACTCTCTTGACCACTCTGTTGGAATGGTCCAAGTGCCATACTCTCTTGACCACTCTGTGGGAATGGTCCAAGT